CCTTTATATTTAATTAATTTTTAATTATAAACCAATTAAAATTTGTAGCAGAAGATAAGATTTTATCTTGTTTGTCAAAATGAATTGTACCTACGTAAATATTCATATTTATATGTACGTATTCTTAGAGGCATGAAGTACTTACGTTTAATAAGCATTGATAATCTACAATTGAAACAATTCGAAGAATGAAACGTCAAACTCGATTAAAAATTACTTCCATAAAAAGCATCACGAATTGTTCAAGAAAATGTATATATTGAAGTGTCCATCTATATTATCGAAAGAACTAATTTGTTTCTTTTGCAGGACAGGCAGGTCGGTTTTTAAAATTCGTTTATTTGTAAAAATTTAAGGAATAAAGAAATGACGAAATTGATTTCTGGCTTGGCTCTTGGTGGAACATATTTAATATTAGGAAAACAAAACACTTGGTATTTTTGTCCTACAATTTTTTATTTAAAACTGACAGTCGTTTCGGCTGTTATGCCATTATCAAATGAATGTATAAAACTTTTTAATGGTATATGGTATTTATAAGGGGGTTGAAGCGTATTGCAATTCTTACAAACTTAAATACTAGTATAAATGTACATGAATTACCCGTCTGTTTCAACTGCTAATTTTAATAACGGGGAAATCCCAAAATCGGTTTGGTCATTCATTATTTGTTTGTGTTGTGTGTTACAGCTTTTGATATTTCCAAAATTTTTAGGAGATTTAAACGTCTGCTTTTATTACAGTTATGTAGAAGTTTTACACTATTGTAATGTATGAAATGATTATTATTAGTAATACAATGATTTGCTAAACCTGAATTATTTTTATGATTTTGAATGTATTTTTTATGTTCGTTTAAATGTATCTTTAAAGAGCGACCTGTTTGACCTAAATAAATAGGTGGACAATTGAGACATTTTGTTTGATACACTCCATTTTTGATAAGAGAGTATCTTTTTTATCTATTTTATTGTTGATTAATAAGCAACCTAAATTAATTTTATTTACAGAGATGGGTGTGACTTCTAATTTTCTTAATTAATTAATAATATCGCAATTTTAGGTACATAATTTACAAATGCAAAAGGTTTCGTTTCAGTGGTGACACAAGGGTAAAAGAATTTAAAATTCTGTTTTTTCTGTTTTTTATAAGTGAGGTCGTCAATCAAGGAAATATCATAACCGTTATTTTTGGTTTAATCGTTAATACTTGTTTATCATAGTTTTCTTTAGTTAAGGTTAGATTGTCTGCTCTTTCCTTCATCCTATTAAAATCAAATTTTCAATATTTAGTAAATATTTAGAACGTTGATATCGGATCATTCTAAAAAATGTAGATTGGTTATCTCAATCTAGAGATGTTCGAGTCATACAATAGGTAGTACATTTCGTCGGTCTGTTTGACGGTATTATTTTTGTTTGTAATGTTTTCAAGTTTTTGAAATTAATTTATCATTTCCACTGAAAATCACTACGAATCATTGTCCTTGAATAATAATACTTTCCTGCAGTTGTTTTGCTTTCTAGCGTACAAAACATTTTCTGTAGGAATGTACCCGCAATAATTTATTTTAAATAAACGACTGGAGATGAGGTGCCAGTTTAGAGCCAGTGGTGTAGGCAGGTCGTAATGGACCAGGATGCCAACTCATTGATTGGGCCTTCTCCTCTTAAAGAGCTAACAAAAAGAAGAAAAGAAAAAAAGAAAAATAACAAGCAAATAACTGAATCTGTATCTTGCTAGCTAGTACATGATTTGCAATAAAGGAACTCGACCAACAATTCTATTAGTAATTTGCAATTTTTTCCCCTTTTTAGAAGAAAAGGATATTTTCATTTTAAAACTTTCTCAAAAAATGTCTTTTAACCGCTTCTGTAAAGACAGTATTGATGTCATAGACCGGATGACAAGATAACATACCCAGAAACAGCTTCATTGTTTCTTAATCAGCATGTTTAAAAACGAAGGACCTCATCGAAAATGTTAGTCGCGGTTAATAGACTCTGTAGAAGGTTATAACAATCAATTTTCTTGTATCAATAAGGTTTTATTTAATACATTAGCTAATACATTCGGAATCGTTTTGTTCCTGTACTTATATTACTGTCTGTCTCTCTAATCCGATATTTATTACAGAATCGTTTCTTTTCTAGGCGTTGTTTTTTGTCTAAAAGTATGTATTGTAAAAAAAATAAGTTAAATGCGCTATTCATATCTTTTTTCAAACAAATGCCTGCTAAACGTTTTTCAGCATTGATTTCTATAAATGTTACACATAAATGCGCAACTCTCGATGAACAATTTCTCGTGAAAAAAAACGACGGACATTGCACAGACATACTGTTCTTACGTTATACATAAACACTTACATGTACGGTTAATAATAAAATTATAAGTTTTATGAAACAAAAATTCAATAGATCGATAACAAATCACTTCAGATATATATATGTTGATATTGATTTTTGATAAAGTAAATATCCTACAGGGGGGCTTTCAAAAATTAAGAGGCGTTTACTAATAAAATGTCACTGGCAGTATTAATTGAAGTTTCTTGTCCGCTGTGTCACCTTTCAGCCAATCAGACAACCTTTCAATGGGCTTGTCCAGCAATTTTATTTTAATTCATAAATCGAAAGTTCAAGTGAAAAATAAGAGATCTGTAAAAAATTAAAATTTTATTCCCATGTTTAGCGTCTGGAAAACAATTACAAAGTTCCTCTTCTAGGGAAGAGGGGCGTGGTCAGGTGTTGCACCATTATGCGCATAGACTTAGTGATTGTATGCGACTTAACACTAGTTATTAGTCGTTACAGTTTACGGAGTAGTCTTTTTAGGTATACATTGTTTGATTCTATATGGCTTCAAAATATGCTAATTAGTAGTGCATAATTTCAGAATATAAAATACAAAATAAAAAACGGGTAAATGATTTATCTGTTTTCCATCCGACTAGAAGCTAATGAGAATGGCACGGCAACATGCCTAATAGAGACATGACTTTATCCGTCAAAAGCAAGAGATTCTATAATGTTTTAAACATAAGTTGATGATGATTTAGAGTCTATCTTTATATAGAAATTTTACAAAAGGGGAGAATTAAATTATAACAGTTTTGATTGCCCAAAAAAAAAAGCTGCATAGACAATGTATTTGGTCCTTGCTTTTTAAGGGCAAAAAGTAACTAATTGATTGAGGCTTATGGACTTGGTAAGGGAAATTGGGATGATGAAAAGATTCAAAAATACGATTGATTGTTAAAGCTGTTCAACCATCTTCCCTACAGTACTAACNATCATCCTAAATTAACTTTTAATTTTTCCTAAAGGTAACGACCCATGTTATCACTTATATAGTTATCATTTCCTTGAATATTATCTGGTGAAATGCTCATGTCTTTTACACTTCCATTTCCTTCAAGACCCATTGCTTGTCCCGCGTTTCCAAGTTGGCCGCTTAAACCTCCAAGTCCAGAAAGACTTCCAGCACCTACTGTTCCCTCCCCAACTTGGTTTTCTCCATTCGTATTATCACCACACACCACCAAACATCCCTGCTCTTTTGCTTTTAATGACGTAAAAATCGAATCAAACAGATCTGAAACAAGATAATGTTAATTGGATAATTAATTTGTTATTAAATTTGTGATCGGCCTACTTGAACTTTGGCTTGGCTCCATCCTTAAGCAGTGACGGCATCGTAAAGGTACTATTTGATTTCCTATACATGCGTAGAGTCTTTGATAATCGCTATCATGTGATATAATTTCGAAATTTTTGGTACATTGTTTTTTCATCGTATCGTTATCAGAGTCTGTAGGTTGTTCTGGATTTTGTCGTACTGAAAAATAAATTGAAAAATGCTTAAAATTTGCTTGAGTACTTACATATTTACTAATGATTATATATGTTTTTTACAATTACCTGATAAAGCTAAACATAAGCTGCAACTTAGCGCGAAAATCAAGGAAATAGCTAGGAATCCTGAAAAAAGGGATTACAATAAATATTATTTAAACTAAAAAAAGAAATAAGAAAATTTAGGGAACTTACTCATGATGATTGTAAGAAAAAATTAACCCTGGATAAATCACTTTGTATTCGGTTAGTAACTCACGATTTTAGCGAATTGAACTCTGTGATCAAATTTTATTAGTTTCAATTTATATAGAGAAACGATCATAAGGAATCAGTAAACACGTTTTTAAGCGTCCTCTTGTCTTAACAATAACATTAAGTATTTAATCGCAATGACCTAGTTCAATTGCTTGTATATTTCGGCTTACTTAAAAGAGAATTATTTACCAGTTTTTTACCTTCGAATTTAGGAGGTAATCGCTTCATTGACAAAAATTTTCCAAGAACACTTGAACACCGTAAAAAATATACAATTTTACAAAAGGGGAGAATTAAATTATAACAGTTTTGATTGCCCAAAAAAAAAAGCTGCATAGACAATGTATTTGGTCCTTGCTTTTTAAGGGCAAAAAGTAACTAATTGATTGAGGCTTATGGACTTGGTAAGGGAAATTGGGATGATGAAAAGATTCAAAAATACGATTGATTGTTAAAGCTGTTCAACCATCTTCCCTACAGTACTAACCTTGCACCTCGTAACTACCACTTGAAGAAAGGATTCGACAACAACGAAAACATTAACAGTGAAACATTAACGACACTGGAGAGTTGGGACAAACAAATACTCTCAACTGGTTTTTCATAATTAATCGGCCCCTGCTTATTTTAGATTGCCCCTCGTATTATCTTCAGGTGATGTCTAATCAAAATCCAGCACTCTTTTAAAAAAAAACTCACTTTTAATTGTTTGAGATAAGAGCAGCGTTCGAGTATATAAAATGGGATGAAACTTTCTGTAAAAAGATTAGTAGTTAATATTCGGTTAATTTGCTAATTATGAGGGAGAGTAAGTTTATAAAAGCCAGTTAAGCATGTTCTTTAATTTAACTATTTCTTATTTTGTTTAGATTATATAGGGTTGCTCCTTCTGTTTTCTCTGCTTGCACTTCAGGGATCAGCATTTTATAGTAAGTAAATTTTATTATATTTGAAAATAAAAAGAAAATTAAAAGAAAAGGGTATCTATTAAAAGCGTATGTAATTCTGGTAAAATATACACAATATAATTGGTAATTTATGTGTTGTGACCTTTTGGGGCTGAGATTTTATTTTTCGAAGAATTAAACGGCAAAAGTATTTTTTGATAGCGTAAACAAAATTTCCACGAAGGATTTGTTAATTTGATAGTTAGAGTCATTATGAGAAATTATAAAATGATTATTTCTTTAAAACATATACTTTATCTTTTACATTACCTATTTACAATTAATCGTTTATATTTGCAATACAATAATGAATTTAATATAACACCCAATTAGGCACATTTATTAGTGACTTTCTGGCAGAAAAACTTCTTGTCTGTTTAAAAATTTTGAATCAAATAAATTTTGATAATGTAATTGAGTTTTGCAATAAATAAAAAATGTGTGCATTGTTTATAAATCTAAACCGTTTTCTTTAGTTAAGCCGCCGCCAACAAAATCTGGTCTTGCTTGTGATAATAATGGAGTTACAGAACAGGAGGGACTAACCTATGCCTGCATTAATAAAAAACTTGTCGAAATAAATTCAGCTAAAATAAAGGCCTATGATAAAGGTAGGATATTGTAATAAACATTGCATTCTCATTTACATGATTTGCATAATGTGTTACAATATAAGTAATAATGATTGTATTTTGTTAACATACGTTCGTCTGGATTTTCATTTTATGAAATTTTAAATAATTTTTTTAGATGCTCACGGATTATGGAAAATACCTTTTAATTTCAATGGGGAACATTGTCTGTTGTCATGTTTACCTGATAAAAATGGACCAAAAGTTTGTGACAAAGCGTGTTTAAAAATAATTGACATAACAGCGCATGAACAAGATTCAAAACATAAACCTCCACCCGGCGTTCCGGATTATGGACAAAATGAGACAAATCCTGCTTGTCCTGTGTGTAAGTGTGATGGAGATAGTAACGATGGTGGCGATGATGATGAAAAAATTAACCCTGGATAAATCACTTTGTATTCGGTTAGTAACTCACGATTTTAGCGAATTGAACTCTGTGATCAAATTTTATTAGTTTCAATTTATATAGAGAAACGATCATAAGGAATCAGTAAACACGTTTTTAAGCGTCCTCTTGTCTTAACAATAACATTAAGTATTTAATCGCAATGACCTAGTTCAATTGCTTGTATATTTCGGCTTACTTAAAAGAGAATTATTTACCAGTTTTTTACCTTCGAATTTAGGAGGTAATCGCTTCATTGACAAAAATTTTCCAAGAACACTTGAACACCGTAAAAAATATACAATTTTACAAAATTTCTATGAGATAAAATAGTCGATAATAATTTTTAAGTTTGTTTTTCAATTAAAATTTGATTTATAGACTTAAATGGTGTAATAAAAACATCGAGTAAGTCTGCAAAATTATGCCTCAATTTTTGGAGTAAAACTCCATGAATTTTTTAGCGTTGTTGTAAAATATCCTTAGGTAAGTTGCTAAGTATATTAGGTATTTAGAATAAATTATTATGTTATACATTATTATAAGATAGTAATTGTAATGTCGAATCATGACTCTAAGTAATCATTGTTACCAACCAAAGTAAAAATTACAAAATGCGTATAACAAGTCATAGTCTACTTACGTCGAAAGGTGTAAAAAAAATATCCTTTTCGCCTTATTTTGATCCAAACAATGGAATACAACTTAATCTTAAAACTTGAGTTAATCTATTCATCTATACTGCATATCTTCATACATGAGTGCATAGTATAAATAAAATTGAAGCGTTTGTTTTTAATATCGTAATAACCGTCTTTTGTTACGTATATGTAAATGTTACATTATTTTTTTTATCAGTCTGTCTGGTCGGGCGAATCATCTTATGTCGACGAAACAACGAGATAGCAATTTCACCTGTCGCGGCTTCAGCTACGAGATATTGCTGCTTATAACCCAAGAACTATGATTTTAATGAAAAATCGAAGGAAACGTCATTCGTAGACTTTCAATGTTTTTCGAATTATGCTTATATTTATCTGAGATAGGGGTTTTACTCCATGCGGCTTCGCCTGTATCGTATTACCGCTTATAGCCCATGAATTATGAAAAATCTAAGAACACGTCATTCTTAGATTTTCAATGTTTTTCGAATATACTTAGGGACGGACTAAGCCCTAGGCAACCTAGGCACGTGTCTAGGTCCCGTAATTTTAGGAGCCCGAAAATTAGGTTTTTAATTTTTTAATTTTTATAATTAATATACATACATTTGAGTATGTACTGTTACTTACCATATGGGAAAAGATTTTATAGGGAATAGATGCTTCAAACAAGACTCTTCAACAAAAAGACGAATCCCTAAATACAGCAGTTTTAATATATAATTCACTGATAGATTTCATACAAACTGTTAGAGATGATTTTGATAATTTAGAAAAAGAAGCAGAAAAAGTTAAAGATGTTACATATACTAATGACAAAACACTACAGAAAATACGAAAACTATTTCATGATGAAATTCCAGAACATGAAATAAGATTAAGTGGCAAACAACATTTTAAAGTTAATATTGTTTTTGTTGTATGCGATTCTTTAATTAGCAACAACAAAAAAATATCTGAGGGATATAAAACTATTAACGATAAATTCAAAACAATTTTTCAAGACAGTGACGTTAGTGACTCTTCAATAGAGGAATTAAAATGCTATGAACGAGATTTAAACCTAGCGGAATTGATAAATGAAGTATTACAATTTAAGACTTTTATAAGTACAGAAAATATTATTTCACCTGTATCCAAGTGTTCATTTATTCAGGAAAATAATATTATTGCAACATTCCCTAAATTTAAACATAATTCTGAGAATTTATTTAACCCAATGCAAGCGGTGAAAGATCATTCTCAGTAATGGCCAAAATAAAATTTTTTTTGAGATCCACATTAGTCCAACAAAAAA